TGTTGCTACTAAGGAAATCTGATAGCATGAAATCGGATAGCAACTGACTCCAGTTGCTATCTGATTTCATGTTCTCCACTTTCCGGCTTGTTACTAACAGCGCCTCCGTTTTGTGTTCTGCTAGTTTTAGGCCGGTAGACTCCATCCACGATTGAATTGCTCTATAGGTTTCTTCAAAAATTCTGCGAATCTCCTCGGTGTGTTTTGCATAATTCCGCACCATCTGGTAATGGGAGATTTAACAGTCCGTCATACATTATGTTCCACAGAAGTGTACCAAGTTCTAATCCTTATGGACTCCTTTTATAAATCTATAGGTCTCAGGTCCATCTTCAGTAGGTAGTCCAATCGTAATTTATGATGAGTATGAGGTGTGATGTTTGTGAGGGTGTACAGTGTAAGAAGGTGCGTGCACTGCAGGTACGTGAGCGCGGCGTGGCTGCGCGTGGTGGAGGCGTGCCTGGTGGCGGCGGCCAGCGCCACCTGCGGCTTCCTCATGATGTTCCTGCTGGACGACTGCCGCCCGCTCGGGGAGGACCCCACCAAGAACCCGCTGCAGGTGACACACACACTACACAACATAAACATACTTTTATTGGAACTCATTCTAACATATTTCTTCAGTATTTCTACCGATACATGCTTATAATGTGTAATTTTAGTATATGCTGTTAGCCGCGGCGACGACCTTACAGAATTGAATAAAAACTTTATTAGTGCTTGTGCTCTTCTAAATTTTGTAATATATTTGTGAAAAATTTCATTGAGTTCAATTAAGCCGTTTTGGTGATAAGTAGTAACAATGATCCATTCAATCTTTCGCATTTATAATATTTCTATGAAATATAATTAGTATGTTTACTATTCCTGTTATTATAAATCTCACTATTCTGACTAAAAAGGATTTAAAAAGCTATACTTATCTTCATTTATGTATACATTTAGAAATAAAATACAACTTTTCGTTGATATAACTATTATTTAATTATTACAAACGAAGTAATTTCAATATTGTTGTAGTTATTCTGCGCGGACGGTGAATACAACGCAATGGCGGCGATCTGGTTCCAAACACCCGAGGAATCAGTGCGTTCGTTCTTACACGACCCTATCGGTTCATACAAGCCGTGGTCGTTGCTGGTGTTCATCATCTGCTACTTCTTGCTGTCCACGTGGACGTTCGGTCTGGCCGTGTCCAGTGGACTGTTCATACCGAACTTGCTGACTGGCGCCGCTTGGGGGAGATTGCTGGCCATTTTAATACAATACATGCTTCCTTCTAATGTAAGTGCGAAGAAAGTTTCTAAGGAGGTAAACAGAAAGTATAAAAACATTGTAAAAAGACTCAAGCTAGCATCGGAGTACGCTAAAACAGTTCGGTAAATCGCTCCATCTATTGATTGACCTATGGGGGATTATTTTTTCTCATCGGGGTGATTGATTTTAAAATTTAAATTGGACCAATGAAAAAAATCCAATCTAACAGGGAACATCCAAAATAGTCAAGAAACTAATTAATTAAGGATGATTATAAAAACAAAGGGAATCTTCCTTTAGACAGCTCCCGAGATTTATTCGAATAAGCGTGTACAATTTTTGTGGACCAAAAAAAATGTATCATACAAATCAATGGGATTCTCCTGAACTATATCATAGGCAATGTAACGTTTGTATAATTTATTTAGCGCTGTTAATTACCTATGTAAATTGAGGTTTGTGTTTGTCCGGTTCGAGTGTGAGTGTGGTGTGTGTGCAGAGTATAAACCCGGCGAAGTACGCGCTGGTGGGCGCGGCGGCGCAGCTGGGCGGCGTGGTGCGCATGACCATCTCGCTCACCGTCATCATCATAGAGACCACGGGACAGATCTCCAACGCGCTCCCCATCATTGTCACCCTCGTCGTCGCCAAGTGGACAGGGGACTTCTTCAACGAGGTATACTAATTATAGTCGTCTGCTGATTTTTTTCTGAAGTTCTTTTTTTATTTATATTTTGTTGAGTTAGATTTTTAGTCAAATTTTTAGATTTAGATTTTGTATTTCCATATTTCATTAAACTTAATTTATCCACCTTTACTTTTATTCCAAAGGTAATTTTATTTTTATAAAAAGTGTAACACTCGCCTAATTTCAAGGGTTTTTATGAATCGCTTTTATTTAAGAAATATGTATTTCAGATATCCCTCTATTGTGCCATCCTCTTGATCTGATACGAAATTGTGTTTATCTTGTATCTGATCCATATGTAGTGTTCTTGGTATTCCCTTATTTCTTTTCGCTTCTATTATAACGGTGATAAAGTTGTTGTGACGGGTGCCTCAGCACCTTTTCTCTCATGTTTGTATTATACTGGCTTGATCCCGTGAAACGGCAATAAAAGTAGCCTATGTGTTATTTCAAACTATGTTCTTCATCTGTGCCAAATTTACTTGAGAATAGTTGATCCGTTTCGGAGATACCTTCTTACCTTTTCCATTGTAATCTTTGACATTTATAATATTAGTAAGATAATTGTGATGTTTAATATGTGTAGGGTATCTACGACATCCACATCCAGTTGTCTGGTGTGCCGCTACTGGGCTGGGAGCCGCCGCCGCTGACGCACACCGTGTACGCGTCCGAGGTGATGTCTCACCCCGTGTTCACGCTGCGCACTGTCGAGAGTGTCGGACATGTGCTGGAGTTACTTCGCCTCGTCTCCTACAATGGCTTTCCTGTTGTTGATCCACCGCTGTCAGACCACGTAAGTACTACTATACTGGAATCAAAGAGATTCAAATACAAGAGGAAGCATAGTTGACATTTCACTTGAGTAATTTTTCAAATAATCCTCTAACGCTATCTATTAATAGATCCTCAAAACCACATGTTAATTAGGTGTCACTAAATACATGATTTAACATTTTGCCACAAAGATTTTACTAACTAGGAAATTCAAATCGCAGTAAGGGAGTCAAAAATTTTGTTTTACTTGTGTCTTCCGATAATTTCCTTCCCTTGTACACTTTTTTTCTACTCTATGTATCCTGCATGATAAGTTTATCTACAACAAAAAATACATTAAAAAAGGTTCATGCTAATGTTTAGAAAATAGTTGTTTTATGTATCTTTTTTAATTATAATGTTCATTCAGGCTGAGGTGACAACGTACAAACGTCTCAGAGGATTGATACTCAGATCGCAGCTGATAGTGCTGCTACAGAATAAGATATACAATGAGAATGCTAACACAACATGGTCCAATTTAAATGTAGATATGAACATGTTCCGGAAGGTATATCCACGTTATCCATCTATTGATGAGGTAATTTGTTGATATTTTTCTTGATTTTTTGTCAATTTTATACTTTTATTAAACTTAGAGTTGAATTGAATTATATACATAATCAAAGAATGTTTGTGCTTTATTTTAGTTTGGTTATTTTATTTTACAGCTAGAAATAGAAGAATGGGAGAAATCATGCTCAATAGATTTGAGGCCTTTTATGAACCCCTCTCCATACACATTGCCGCATCGCGCCTCATTACCCAGATTGTTCAAACTATTCCGAGCTTTAGGACTGAGACATCTACCAATAGTCAATGATGTTAATGAAGTATGTTTTTTTAAAGAATAATTGATAGATATCTTGGAATATGTATACCAATGATAACCTAATTTTAATATTTCAGGTTGTTGGTATGGTAACCCGCAAGGACATTGCCCGATATAGAGTGTGGCGACACAGGGGACATATGGGAATGGAAGAGTTACTGTTATCTAGTGAGATTTAAATTATGACAAATTTTATATTAAGTTAATAATGTTATTTATGCCAAATAGAGGACTTGTTATATAAATAAAACCTTAACACAATTTTATCTTTTTTATAAAGATATTGTTTTATTGAAAAATTAAGTCATAGTTTTATTTAGTTAATAACAAAGGTTTGTACATCACAAATATGTATAACATATAGTTTTTAGAAGGCAATTTTTACTTCCAAAACTTAAATAATGAACTAATAATTACTTTAGTTAAAATATTTGCCAATCACAAAAATTGTTTCAACAGTAATTACAAAAAGTAACTAACTGTTTAACATAGTTGTAACTTAATTTTGAATTCAATTTATATTTTCTTCTGAAGCAGGATTTTTCTGTTTCTTAAGTATACATGAACATACTGCTGTTATGAGCGACAAATGACGGAAACTTCTTGGTTTCTCCTTAAAATCTAGGCACATTCTTAATTAATATGTTCCCAGTTATTTCTTAAGCAAATGTGTAATGCCATTTTAAGGTTAATCATTTACTTCAAAGGTGTGCGTTAACAACACTTGTTCTTCATATTGAGCCAGCGTAAACAGGAAAATCCTTAGTTATTTACAAATAACTCCCATCCTATTCCGGCCCATAAATTAATAAACAAGAGGACTGGCAGTATCACCAATATTAACAACAAGTAATTAACTAGTTCATCCATTTAGGTTTGATGGTATTCAATTTTAGTGGAAGCCTTAAAATTTAAAAAGTCGTTTTAATATTAAATACGCAATATTCTTCATATGATATTTGTTTATATTCTTGACATATGTCATTCATGATTCATGCTTTGACATTGACATAATTTTATAGATAGAAAAAATGCTACGTTTCATTTTACAATAAATGTTATTTGCAAATGTTGTGTTTTGAGTTATTTTTTATTAAAACTAAAATGTTTGTCGTATCTAGTCTAACGTAAACTTAACTTCGGTCAAACGAGTGTCGTTTTTATAAAAAGGCAAATACTTTCAAAATGTCAGAAACGGAATTTTAACGGTTTCGGTTAGCAGGATCGTTAAAAGTTATTTACCAGTATTCTTGCAGATTGCTAACTCCCATAAATTAAAAGATGACATGATATACATTTGGTAAAAATTAATGTGAAAAAGTTTATTTAAAGATATTTATTGTATGTCAACATGAATTTAATAAATGTTTTACATAATGCAAACAAACTTATCTACATATTAATTAATGAAATATATTAGACCTAACATTTATATTAGTCTTACAACAACAATTACATAGAATTAAAATATTATAAATTGTAAGTCTTTATCAAGCAATCAATAGCTTGTTGGGAGTCTTCAAAGTATTGTGGTGCTTCCAATCTTTGGATACCATAGTAAGGTTCTAGAGCGGGTAGTACGATCTTTGCCTTGCCAATGTTATTTGTATTGGCTACACTATGGTTCAAATTGTCTCCATGGTGATTAAACATTCGCGGCATAGTTTTGAATGGCTGAGGTGTATGGAATCGATGTTTTGAATTGTTTGTCATTCTTTTCATTCTGTCCACATTACTCTTTATTGTCATCAGTGTTTTATGATTTTCGGGAACGTGGAGAAATTCCGTTAGATCCTGTAACAATTAAATTATAAAATGAATAAATTCTTAAGTGGTTTATAAAGAAAGCTAAAATAATAGTTAAATACCTGTTTTACGGTTTCGTATTTTGAGAATATCCATAAGTAAGTTGAAAAAATACAAAACAGCTTTGTTTCACTGCTACTGAATCTCAACATAAATTTCAAAATTGGCGGTATACGATCTCTCTGTAAGAATACAAATAATTAACACAACTAAATTATAATTAGCAAAATTGGTCTATTAATTTGCAAGGGCCATAATAATTATCTTACTTTGTATATTTTCGGTCCAGTGACCTTATATCTGGCCAAATTGACCAGCACAGCTGTGGCATATTTCAATACTTCGATACTGGAGATGGATCGATTCATAAAATTCATGTACACATATACATAACCCACCACTGAAGATGCGTTATTGTGGTACATCATTGGATATACTTCTGTTAACAATTCTGAAAAAATAATTTCGTAAATTACATATAGAAAATTTTCAAGATACAAAAAAAATATTTGAGACCAAGAGTTAAATTTAAAGTTTAGTTGGTTTTCAAATGTTTAATTGAGAACCAAAGAAAAAGTTTAATTAACAATTAATAGCGTTTTACATATGATAAATAATATTTCAAGGTTTTAAAGTAAACATACCCAGTGATCTAAAAGTGCGAATAATGGATTCTATGTCAGACATATTCCTGAGTTGTTCCATGGCGTCATCATTACGTTCTTTAAGCGACTCCTGCGTCGACTGCAGAGCACCGCCGCGCCATCTGTTGCGAAGCTCCTCCACCTGAGAGTCCTTGTTGGACATGCGGACACGATGGCCGCGGAAAAGAGCCTACAACAATTAAAAAATCCGAATTTTAATATAACTAAAAACGTTACATTGAATGATAAGTTCAATTAAAGTGTAAAACATACCTGAATTTTGGAAGCAGCCCAGTTTCGCCTTTGTTCCTCTTTCATTTTAATCAACATTTCCTTTTGAGCTATGAACCACTTTCTTGCTAAAAATCCTCTTATCACAGCCTGTAATTTTATCGCTGATTGTCGTTTCTTCAAAAACTCAAAACGGATCGATCTCGTTAATTGCTTTCCTTTCCATAGTTCTTGAATTAATTTTACGTATTTAATAAAATTATTGTAACGTTTTTTCTCAAGATAACATCTGATATTTTTTTGCAAGCAAATTGCTGCAGAAATCTTTTGTTGTTTAAGAACTTCTCTTTGCTTCTTGTATCTATATTGGACTTGTATAAATAAAATAGCCGATCGGAGTGTCATAAAACGTTTTCTTTGAATATAACGTCTCGCGTGAGCTTGGATAGTTATAATATTTTTTCTGATTTGTAAGTATTGTAGTCTTTGTGTCGTCGTTAGTTTATACAATCTATAATGTCTTTGTATGGTAACTGTAGCTCGTTTTATTTCTAAATATCGTTTACGCTGGATGTACATGCGTATGACCGATTGTACTATTTTTATTTTCTTTCTGTAATCTAAATATTCAGTATAGCATTGCTGTACGATTTCTCTACTTTTCTTGCAAGATCGGTACCAATTTTGGATGTTTACAGCAGATTGTCTTTGTTCTAAATATATCTGTCTTTCTTGTTTACCTTTTATGTAAGCCCTAAAAGCAGTTTGAATTATCACACAAGACATCCTTAGTTTAAGATATTTGGTTCGATGCTCATGCATTTTACAGATGGCTCGGTATCGTGTTTGTATTATAGTCGTTGCTTTTTGCAACTTGCTGTATTCATTTTTACAAACTCTCATCAACATAAGGGCTCGATAATGTTTTTGTACAATTATAGTTGCATTCCTGAGTTTATTGTAATTCTCTCTTTGGCGATGCATTTCCAAAATACTTCTATACCATGTCTGTATTTTAATAATAGAATTTCGTAAATGTAAATATTTTATTCTTTCTTCCTTCGCAATTTGGTAAAAACGGAAATATTTTTGAATTTTTACAGCAGAACTTCGTCGTAATAAGTAATTAGCTCGTTCCTTTTTCATAACCAAATACGCTCGAATATGTTTTTGAAGTATAATACAAGATGTCTTCGTTTTTGTATACTCTGATCTTACTGTTCGCATTTGTATTTTAGCTTTGTAGTAGGTTTGTATAACAGTTGTTGCCTTTTGTAATTTGTTATAGTCATTTTTACAAGTTCTCATTAACAATTGAGCTCGATAACGTCTTTGCAAAGTTATAGCTGCATTTCTTAGTTGTTCAAAATCCTTTCTTTGTTCGCGCATTTGCATAATACTTCTATACCAGGTTTGTATTTTAATAACAGAATTTTGTATAAGCAAATATTTTGTTCGTACAGTCTTTGTAATTTGGTACGAACGGAAATATTGTTGAATTATAAAAGCAGAATTTCTTTGCAAGATATAAACCGCTCGCTCTTTCTTCATTGCTAAATACGCACGTATGTGTGTTTGAATGATAGTACAAGATGTTTTAATTTTAAGATATTCAGACCGCTCTTGACGCATTTGCCTCTTAGCTCTGTATCTTTTTTGTAAAACAATTGTTGCGTGTTTCAATTTTACATAGTCGTTTTTACAATTTCTCATTATCATAAGAGCTCTGTAACGTCTCTGTAATATTATAGTTGTATTCTTAAGCTGTTCAAATTCCTTTTTAGATCTTCGCATACTTATAATACTTCTGTACCAAGTTTGTATTTTGATAGCTGAAATTCGTAAATTTATATACTTTGCTCTTACTTTTTTAGCTCTATATTGTGTTTGTACAGCAATTGTTGCGTTTCGCAATTTTATGAAATCGTTTTTACAAACTCTCATCATAGTAAGAGCTCGATAACGTCTTTGGAAAATTAGAGCTGCATTTCTTATTTGTGTAAATTGATCTTTGCAGCGACGCATTAACAAGACACTTTTGTACCACGTCTGTATTTTAATAACAGAAGTTCGTATCTTCATATAATTTAATCTCTCTGTTTTTGCGAGTTTATAGAGCCGGAAATATTGTTGTATTTTCACAGCTGAATTCCGTTGGAGGACGTACGCCGCTCGTTCTTTCTTCATTGCTAAGTATGCTCGAATATATTTTTGAATAATAATACAAGATGTCCTAATTTTGAGATACTTTGATTGTTCCTCGCGCATTTGCAATTTAGCTCTGTATCGTGTTTGTAAAACAATGGTAGCTTTTTGTAATTTTACAAAATCGTTTTTACAAACTCTCATCATTACAAGAGCTCGATAACGTCTCTGTAAAGTTATAGTTGCATTTCTAATCTGTTCATATTCTTTTCTTTCTTGACGAATTTTCATAACACTTCTGTACCAAGTTTGTATTTTAATTACCGAATTTCGTAAGTGTAGATACTTTGTTCTCATTTCTTTAGCGATTAAATACGAACGGAAATAATGTTGAATTTTAATAGCAGAGGTACGTTGTAAGACGTATGCTGACCTTTCTTTCTTCATTGTTAAATATGCTCGAGTGTGCTTTTGTATATTGCTTACAGCTGTTTTGATCTTCAAATAGGATTCTCTATCCTTCAACATTTGTTGTCTACCTTTTACCCTTCTTTGTAAATTGATGATCAAAGTTTTACTTCGAATGTATTGTGAACGACATTTTTTCATTCTGAATACAGCTTGGACTTTTACAGTTGTCTGTTTTAAGTGCAAATAGTTGTGTCTTGCTTCTCTCATTTTAAGTAATGCAATGTAACGATTTTCAATTGTAGACACAGATTTTTTGTAAGCTAAAAATTGTCTCCTTTGTTTGGCCATTCTATAATAATTCTGAATGATGATAATACTTTTGATTTTTAAAGCTAATATACGCATCTGTTCCCTCATCTGTATCTTGCCTTTATACTTCTCTTGAATATAGGAAACAGATTTCTTCAAGCGCATGAATTGTTTTCTTTCAATAAAGCAACGAATCGTGCTTTGCACAAGAATTATATTTTTCACTGTCTTTTGGTAACGCCTTCTGCAAATCCAACCTTTCACATACGCTTGAATTTTTCTCGCTGCTTGATATCTTTTTTCGGCTTGTCTTAATTGCAAGACTTTTAGAATTTCCCTCGCTTGTCTTATCTTTTGAATACCGTAATACCATTCTTCTATTATTTGTACATTCCTTTTCATGTTCTGGTATCGACTACGACATAACCATCTTCGGAAAAACTTCTGTATGATGATGGTTGCGTAAGTTAGTTGTTGCATTTTTAGCTCCACCATGCGGTTGTATTGGATTCTACGCCACCAAACTTGAATAACACTCGCCGCGTTATTTAACTTATCTCGCACCGCTTGCTCTTTTTTCTTTCGTTCCAGCACAACGGCATATTTCTTTTTCCACCATGTCTGTATAACATTGGCCGCCTTCATAAACAGAGGAGCACGGAACACGTGTATCAGCTGCCAGAGTAACGATAGTGTCTTTTCTCTGTGCCCATCGGCAATATCCGTAGCCTTTATATCTCCAACGATAACAAAATTAGCTTCTTTCAATGCATTCAGAGCTACTTGAACGTTATGTATTTTTTGCAAGCGTGATATTGGCGGAGTTCGCAACTGACTTAACAAGCCGTTCTTTATCAGAATTACTTCCATGACTTTGGTCAATCTCACTCCGTCTCTGATGTCGACAGCGATATTGTGAACAGCGTATTTATACTCATCTAAGTATGATTGTTTATGGCACACAACGTAACCGAGAGGCCGTAAATGTTTGGTGATATCGCCAATACCAGCAATCAGCTCCCTCGTAAAACGGATTAAAATTTCTCGACTATCTTTGCATACAGCGTTTCTACGGAATAAGCAAGGATCGTGAGGTATCAATCTTTTCTGCTTTGCTTGATCCAGGAAGAATACCAACATGAAGAATTTTTTTAGAGTAAACTTTTTAATAGCTTCCATGTAAGCAGGCAAAAGCATATTTGGAGCGCTCGATTTTGAATGTTTATTTTTAAGAAGTGGATTTTTGAACATTCTCTGAATAATAAAGATAGTAAGGCCTTCGATGTCATTATTTGATTTCATCTGTATGACGAATCCGTAAATAGCTTCCAGACCGACACGAAGCCACAACGGATTGTACGATAATATCAATTCCATTATGATCTTTTGTAATCCTACATCTAAATGAAGATTGCGATCGTTTCTTATTGCAATTAATTTTTTATCGATCTGTAAATTTAGTTTCACGAACACTTGCGATATTTCTGGGCTCATCAATAAAGCTCTCGCAGATCGTCGCAGACTCATCAACCTGTGACTGTTGTGATAGGTGCTGCTGACTTGCTCTTTTGTAGGAGCAACAGGGATTTCTTTATTTCTATTTTCAATCCACGCTTTGCCGAAATCTATCTTTTGCTCAACATTACTATCGAGATCGGCCGGAGGTGTTAAAATATAGTTAAGCCATCTTTTAAACTCTTGTTCGATCTTTTCTACAGCCTCCACGTCGTAGAAGTAAGTTGAGGACGAAAATGGATCGACAGTAAACGATTGAGAATACACGTTTCCCACCTGATTTAAAGAAATATTTTGATTTATACTTTTATTCGCCTCCGATCGTGTACTTGATACTTTACTTGATGTTCGACTTTCGTCGATATCAATTTTATTTTTACTTTTCACAGCTTTTTTGACAACTGCAATAGGAACTTTCCATAGCTCTGGTTCACAATTGATAGATTTCTTGGACCACGTTTGCTTTGCAAGTCCTGATACACCGCTTTTATCAACATTTTTGTCGAATGTACGGTTAATGGTAAATGTCGCCATCTGATTATCTGTTTTATTAAATGACTGCGAGTGGAAAGCTATACCACTCTCTTCTGGTATCGATTGTAGAGGCGGAGTAATAGATCTAGGTGGAGATCTGTCTAATCTCAGATCACTGTATCTATTTTGTTCAAAAAAGTTTCCGTATCTCCTATCAAAACTTTCTCTACACTGATTGTCCTTAAACAAAGCTTGTCTGCATAATTTTGGGTCTCTAATACTGAAAGGTTCATGTCTCAGTTCCGAATTCGTTTGGGGATAATCTAAGAAAGTATTTGGAGACTCCTTTGTATATGTATCAGAATTAAGCTTCATGTTTAGATTTGTATCGTTTATTAGTTCTTGGGTCTCGTTATTAATTTTAGGTAGTACTTTTCTTTCGGTTGAAAACCGCTGAGGGAAAAAGGACAAGTCGCTGATGCGTGAGATTTCGGTGTTAATAGAAAAATTTAGACTGGTTATTTCCTTGGGGGATGATGTATTTGGTATTTTCTTACTCTTTGTCGGCGATTCTATTTCTTCATTCTCATGAGCCGATTGGTCTACAGTTAACCACTTATTTGGTGGCTGGGATGAAGTCATGCATATTATTGATCTAGTGTCATTTTCTTTGTCAGGGTATTTAATATCAAGACTGTCATTGAATTCACTATCAGAGTTTACACTGAGTACTATTTTCGGACCTTTATCTAATGTTACATTTTTGGATTGCAATGTCTTCAAGGGTGTAAAGGTAAAGTTATCGAAAATATCTGCAGCAAATGTTTTTAGATCTTGTCTGTTTGATGGTTTCAAAATATTTCTTTGCATTGGTGAGTTAAATTCGTTGCCATATTCAGTGTCGTAAGGTTTATTGTTTGGTAGGTTGTCTTTACGAGTCTTTCGCACGTTAGCGAATATTTCTGATATGTCAAATTTTAAATCACTATCTGGAGAAAATTCTAATGGGCACCTGCTTACATAGCGATCATTACAGTTCTCGTCATTTGAAATATTCTCCTTGTCACATATATCATAAGTCCGATGTTGAATTGATTGTACCACATTAACTGTGGTGTCCACTTTTCTTTGTGTTTTGTAAATAGCTTCCACTCTCTTCTTAGTTACACATGCTGGTGACTTTTTTAATGCTTTCTTTTTAATCTTACCTGGCGATATCTTCAATGTTTTTGTTGAAACTTTTCCTTTAATGTTCTGAAAAGATTAATAAAATTTATCTTAAAAATGTATGTCAACAAATATGATATATAACTTGATTACATAAATCATTTAATCAAACAAATAAATGCAAAACTAATTTCTATTTCAAGCCAATACAACAAATTATGCATAGGAAACATTTATTTGATTTATTTAAAATTAAACAAACTAAAAAAAGAGGTGACATATCTACTCCATTACATAATCCATAATATAGATTTTTAAAAACAAAACAGAATCATTAGAAGAACTCACCATAACAGACTTAAGTACAACAAGGACATCAAACCTGCCCCTGTTCTCATTAGTAAAACGAATAGTTTCTCTGAGGGCAGTCGGCTGCAATGGTGTCCACACCATGGTAAGAAGGTAGCATGTCTCTGGTTCCAAGAACAAGCCATCATCGGGCAAATCTATAATAAGCCCTTGTGGCAAAGAACGGCCAAGTATTAGCTGCAAATAAAAACATGAAAATTAATATGATCAATAAATTGTGTAGCCTAGTGGTTTAGGATACAGACTGGTTGTGTGTTAGTAGATCCAACTCCCAACATGTATAATAAGCCCAAGCTTCAAGATAACATGTATGATGCAAGGAATGGTAGAAAATGTCCTTTATCAATCTGCTGAAAAGCTTCTTTTAGCTTATTACCTACAAAGGGAATGTGAAAAATGATGGGAAGCTCTATGACACCCTCTCCTTTCCCCCTAACATGTTTGGGTCAGGAACTTTGGGGTGCTATCTTTATTACAAATTAAAAGTTAAAACATTCTTATGTCTATGTTAAAAACAACAAATATAAAATAAAATAAAAAAGCAAAATACAAATTTAAAACCAATTAATAAAAAAAAACGCAATTATAAAGATTCATGGAACTTTAACAAATCATTAATTCATTTAAAGTACCTGTTGAATTTGTTTCAGCGGATTGATTATTTCCAAACATCTCTCACAGGACGTCCCGATGAGAACATTTTCGAAAACAACTTGAGGGGGCCGAGAAAATGGAGCCAAAACTAGTCGGGGGCATTCCTCTTTCGGCGGACTTTTTTTACTGTTTTCATTTCTTCTTGACTTTTTAATACGCTCTGGAGTATTTTCTATCTACAAATTGGACGATCAAGGTATTATTGAAATGAAACAAATAAGAAACATAACAAATTACAAATAGTCATGAACTTACCTGAAAATACATATTTATAGATTCCTTCAAGATCTTATCCACACCACAGTAATTTTAACGGCACAACAATCTTAATTTATAGTCACATACTCTTTTTAATCGTCAAAATTGGTTTACAGCAAAAACTATTTCAACAAACGCATATAACATTCAAATTTTCAAACCAACTGACAAAACTGACGTTCAATCAGTTCAGTTCAGTTCAGTTGTCTACTGCCAAAATGCCAACCTTTAAAACAGTTATTTTGCTGCTCTATATTTATGTTCATGAAAAACAACTCATAAAAAGCTGTCTAAAACTCTTAAACTATAAAAATTATTCGTTACCTGAGTTTTATTACAAAAGAGAAGCAACAAATTACTATAATTGAAAGTTGTCTACTATACATGGTCAAAATATAAATAAATTCTTGACAAAGTAACTGATAAAATACAACATTTGAAACTTTTTATTTGGTTTTTACCTAAAACTATTTTTTTAGTCCATAGATAATTTCTTGCATGTAAAAGTTCCAGACATTTGCTTGGCATTCTACGAAATGCTGACAGTTGACAGTTTCTGACTTTTTGGACCTGTCACTCAGTTCTGTGCCACTTTTGTCATTATAGAATTTTTCTCGGGGCCTCTCTGCTTGGGATTGTCCACATTTGCCATCTGTGAATCGAGATCCAGGTAATCGTCTCTAAGGTAAGTCGTAGGTACAAGTTCTCAATATGTAGAATAGGTAATAGACTCTTAAAATTATAACACTGGATTAATATTACAGGATCCTTATTGAGAAACATGGCCGAGACTCAGACGAATGATAATACTACTTGCGTAGTTTGTTTCAAGAATGTCTTGTATTACTCAATTGGGGAATGTGACCACCCCGTTTGTTTTGAGTGCTCGACTCGTATGCGAGTGCTTTGCTTGCAAAACGAGTGTCCAATCTGTCGGCAGGATCTTTCAAGGGTAACTTATTTTTATTAATCAGAAATGATAAATTAAATTAACATTATGTCGCAATATTTTGAATTGAATTGAAATATTATAATTAAATGAATACCATCATTATATTGATACAGATTTGGGAAGAAATTAAATGAAAATAAAAGGAAGCGCAAATATAAATAAGCTGTGACTATTTCCAATTAATTTGGTTATCAATAATAAGAACTTATTATTGCTCCTTTTTCACAGGTCTTGGGTTTTAAATAGTACACAGTTTGTAAACATTGAATATATTTTTGGAAAGCAATTAAATAACAGCTTTAATTCAGAAAATAAAAGTCCTATATAATCATATATAAATTAAACACCAATATTATAAATAAAACTTCTAATTGAAAAATAATGTAGGTCATACAAAAGGCTTAATGTAGGTCATGGATGATAAAAAAATGTTTAGTGTTCAAAACTTTTTAATTTTTTTAGGTTGTCTTCACTGAAACAATTCAACCTTATAAAGAACTCCGCAATAAGGTGTTTAGTGATCGTCTGTTTGAAAGGCAGTTCAAGATAGGGTTCTGTACTGAAGAAATAAAAAAAGAATATGAGAAACTTCTGGAACATCGTTGTAAGACATGTGATAAAAACCCACCATTCCATACATTCACTATGCTGAGTGACCACATGCGGCGGGTCCATGAGCGCTATTACTGCGACCTTTGCGTTAAGCATTTGAAGGTAAGATATAAACAATATTCTATGATACAACAACACAACTTATATTCATTAACAGAACGCTAGATCGAGTGCGGGCTTCTATAATTATATAGCGTATTGCAAAGAGCTTATTCTTTTTAACATTGTAAGTTACACAGAAATCAGTACTTATTTATTGAAAACTAAAAACTAAGTGAAAATTGTAAAATTATTGCTTATAATAGTTTTCTTGAGAAATATATTTATTTTTTCTTATTTGTAGATATTCACCAGTGAACGGAGATGCTATACACGACAAGAGCTGGCTCACCATCGACGGAAAGGTGACATTGATGACACATCTCATAGGTAATACATATATTTATTTATCTATACTAATATTATAGAGATTTGTATTTTTGTATGTATGGAAATAAGACCATAACGACTGGACAGATTTCAATAATCCTTTCACTATTCAAAACTATGTTATCAGCGAGTAACATAGGCTATATTTTCTTAATTACATGCAGGCATAGTCATGAGCTACATCTAGTTTGTTTATAAAAAAAACTAATCATGTCTTTAAATAGGAATAGTCATCTTAAAGCAATTAAAACTGTGTAAACAACTGATTACGAGATGTTGTCTGAGTTAATATAAGATAAAATAAAAAACAATTTAACACCTTATCTACAAAATTGATAGGATAATTAGTTTAATTGTCTAATTGTCCACAAATTATGCTAATAACATTTAGCATCTAAGACAACTTCTGATTTATAACCTGGATTTTAAACACTCAGAATTGAAACTTGACCCAACCATTGTGGGTAGTCAGTATAAAATAACCAAATGATTAGGAGTATGGACTACTGATGTGATCAGGTTCGAATCCCGCTATTCCACGATTGACGTGAACAATATCTTAGCACAAGCCTAGGGCTTAGTCGGAATGATTAAAGGAAATATTAGTAAACTAGCTTTCGTCCGCGACTCTGTCCGCGTGGAATTAACAATAACAAAAGTCAGCATATGTGTTTTGGACTATTCTCTACATCTATACCAAATTTCATCGAAATCCGTTCAACCATTTAGGCTACAAACTCTAACAAACATCCATCCATATAAACTTTCGCATTTATGTATGATATGCCTTTCATTGTCAGGGACTCTGCAAATTACAAAGTATAATTATTGTTGAATTGTATTGTTTATTTGGTTATTTTAAGTAGTTGAAATGCACAGGGGCCACCCATTGTGTGAGTTCTGTGAAGAACGCTTTATGGATGCTGACGAGTTATACCGTCATCTCCGCAAGGAGCATCTCTACTGCCACCTGTGTGACGCCGATGGCAAGAATCTGTACTACCCGACGCACTCCGCACTCGCACACCACTTCCGTACTGACCACTATCTCTGCGAGGAAGGGGATTGCGCTGGAGAACATTTGACTGCCGTCTTTAGAAGTGAAATTGATCTCAAAGGTACATTTTTTTTACTAAGTGAATAGCCACAAAATCTCTTTTTAATTCAATTATAGGTATACAACAATTTTAGTAGAATTCTTGTAAATACCAAGCAAAGAATTGAATTTTTTGTTTGACTTTGTGGATAAAGGTTGACAGAATGGACTGTGAACAGCTGGTTTGTTTCATCAGGAGAGTTTTGCAAGTATATGCGAAATTAGAATAAAACTACAAGCATTTGACGCTGGCCCAATCCACTGAGGGATATCGATAAACAAGGAATAGAATAGAATAGCTGTTTGCATAGTTGACTTTTGACTTAAATTATAACAATACACTAGACTGTACAAACAAAGTGTTACTAAATTCATAAATAGGGTTGTAACAGAACTGTGCTTTCACATCCGTAAGTGCTGAACCTACGCAAGAAATATTAACTCCGCATCCGCATCTTATTCCGTTAAAATGGCCACTGTTACAACCCTAAATATAAATACGAAAGTTTAGATTGTTTTATGATAGAGGTTGTAGCCTAAGCTTATGAACGGATTTTAACGAAATTTGGCATCGATGTTGAGTATAGTTTGGAAGAACGTATAGGTTATAAGTTTTTTTAAGTCCATGCGGAGTCGTGGGCGAAAGCTAGGAAAAAATGTATGAGTTGTATTCTAGTAAAGCAATATGTATTCCCAGCTCACAAGGCTACGGTGCACGGCAAGGGCATGCCGCGCGGCGCGGCGCGACAGGCGCGAACACTAGAGTTGCAGTTCA